TTTCCCTAAGTCCATATTGGTTTTCGTCACCTCAAAGCAGCACATGGACACAGGAGGGGAAGAACGGGCTATGACAGCCAGGCTTGCTCCTGGGCAGACTCCCCGCCGGCCTGCCAGAACACAGCCAGGAGTCAAACAGTAAATAGAACCGGCTGCTGAAAGTCTTATCAAATTTAGAAAATTCAGTCATTTTCCAGTTCACAGTACAATGTTTATGGGATGGAGGTGGTATTAAAATAATGGAAAACAAAAACGGAAACAAACAAGAAAGCAACAATCCAGGTCTCTTTCTGGTATGGTTCCAGGGAGGGTGGATTTCAGGTTCAAAAGGCTCATGCAGCCACAGTGGCTGGGGCATTTTCACTTCAGAGCCTTCAACGTCCTGACGTTGGGGAGAAAAGCTGGACATGCCACAGGAATGTCAGTGAGGCAGGGGGTTGAGTTTAAGGGTGATTTCGGTGGGGAGGTGTTTTCACCATTAATTTTCTGGGGCCCAGCCTTGAGGCCTGGGGCATCTCGAGTAGCATGCTTACATGGAAGGCCGTCCCCTGACCTCATCAGGCAGCAAGGATGGTGGACATCGGCCGTGGGGAGCAACCAGGGCCCTTGTCGGCAAGACAGGGGTGTGAACATCACCAATTACACAACTACCTGACTACCTGAGGAAAGAGAACTTCATTTTCCTGAGCTCTTTCTAAATCTATCCCAAGTGTCCCCCCACAGGTGCACAGCCTGAATATTCCACTTGTCTACCAACCCGAGAATATCTAGTGAGCACCTATTGTATACAGAGAATGATAACGGGGCCCCGGGGTAGTGGTTGGGAGTGAAAACTCAAGCCTCTTCCTTGCCCTGAGGTTTTCAAGAGCGAACGTCTGTTCACTGCAGGAGGCGGGGAGGCCCCAAGCTGCCCAGCACCTTTCTGGGGTGGGAGACCGTCCCAGAGAACATCTCCGGTGGCTCTCTGAAAATCCTCCCAGCTAGCAGAGCACCACACAGCCCCCCCAACCCCATTCCCTGCTGCGGGGAGGACAGGACCAGAGGAAAGAACACAAGGAAGAGGATGAGAAAATGTCTGGCTGGTCCCGGCACAGACTCTGTTCCGTCAAGGTTGCTGGCTGCTGCTTCTCTAGGGATCTCTAGGGACAGGTCTGCTCTCTGCTCAGAAGACAACGGTCCTGCCTCAAGCCAGTGACCAGGTCTGGGGACAGGCTGGGGCTCCCAGGGTGCCCACTCTCCTCCCTGCACCCACCACTGTCCCTGAGGACCTTCCTCAGATTCAGGTCAGGGAGTAAAAGGAAGACCCACGCTCTGCTGAGGTCACCACACACCATGGAAAGTAAAGCTACGACCCCACAGCCCTGGCCCGAGTCTACCCGGGTCAACACTCTTGAGAACCAACATAGGAGATCCCGTGGCCAACCCGCAGGCAGGACCCTGACTTGCAGGTCACAGCACCAAGTCCCAGGAAGTCGGGACTGCAGGGGATTCACTCTTCACAGCACCACACATTAGGCGGGTCCCAGCGGAGAAGGAGAAATCAAAAGCGTGAGGCACTTGGAAAATGCAGAGGAGAAAACAAGGAGCACGCGAGAACAATGGCGAGCGGAGTCGAAACCTTTGGCTTGATGGCTCAGGGGGGGGGCCCGGGCTGTGCTCCCCCTGCTGTCTACACTGCCTACGAATAGTACCTGCCTGAGTCAGAGTGACCCTTGGGAGTAAGGGGATGCGGGGGCTTTGGTGGGGAGAGGGGAGTGGCGTGAGGAGGGAACTTGACGTGTTCACATATGGCCACAGAGCCAGGAGCTGTGACCTCAACCAAGCCCTGGCTGGAGTGACCCCTCCTGATCAGTAAAGCTAAAAGGGACAGTAAGTGCCCAGCCTCTGTCCAGCCTGGGACCTCTGAGGAAGATGGAAGCAAAGGAAAGCTCTCATGCGTACCCTCCTCCATAGGACGTGGATGGATGGCTTCTCCAAGGTGAGTCCTGGCTTCAAGGGCTAAACAGACTTTTCCCAGCTGGGCTCGCCAGCTCGGACAGCCTGCACCAGCTCGACTGTCACCTCTGGGGTGAGGGGCCAGGTGAAGGGCGGATGGGGGACGAGCAGCCATTCAACCTCTTCGGCTCTGCTCTCCCTACCTGGGGCTGAATATTGCACAAAACAACACTTGGATGCCGTTGACGGTAGGCACTCTGGGCCTCTGTGGAAGCCGAGGCAGCACTGAGTCAAGGAGGAGATTGTTCAGAGATGCAGTGGTTCCAGGAGGAGGGGAGTGGGGGAGGGGTAGCTCAGAGGTGGCCAGGCATGCTTCCTCCACATTCCGTGACCACGGCTCCTCTGCGGTGTTCAGAGTCCTCGCAGGAAGGGAGAAGCGCCTTCAGACGGGCCTAGATTTTCGAGCTAGCCATCCCCACAGCCCTCTGACCTGCATTCAGGAAACTGCGGGGAAAAAAGAGACAGAGGGAGAGAGACATCAGCTCCGTGGGATCAGTGGGGAGCTGTCCTCTGGCTTGTGACAGGTGGGCAGGAGTGGCAGACTGTCACCTGAGAAGAAGGGTTTCCACGGAAGTCTGTCCACATGTCTGCTCGTCCAGACCATCAACTCTGCAGTGAGAGGCATGGTGGCAGCCCCCAACCCCCAGCTGACAAGCCATCCCCCTCCTCCCTCCCAGCAAAGCTGCAGCTCAGTCTACAGAGTTACCAGGGCCTCGTAAGAACACAGGGCAGTGAGCCAGCTTCCTCACCTGCTCCCCTCTGCCCCAGCTCCCAGGACTAAGAATACATCAGCCCCAGGGAAGATGTATTAAGAGGGGCCGTTTGTGCACAGCCTACCATAGGCCAGCAGTTAATGTAAATTAACTGCCTTGACCTCCACAGTAACCCGATGGGGTTGGCTATTTCTGCTTCCTAAAACCTCTTTCTAGATAAGGAAACGGAGACACGAGAGAGTGATTTGCTCAGGGACGCTCTCAGCTCAGCTCAGCTCAGCTCAGCTCATCAGTTGGAGACCCAGGTTTGAAGCTACCATAGCTCAGCCTCCTAAACATCACCTTTCACATGAAACCAAAAAACCCCTATTACCAATTTAAGGGACAGTCATGCAGGCACCAAGAAATGCTAAGCTTTTGTCCTTTGCTTTTGTTCTGGAAGTTAAGCACTACATCAAGAAGCATGAACTGGTCTGTTTTCTCAACTCTGTTTTTGCCCCCTGGATCCCTCTACCCCAGCTTCTACCTCGAGTGTTTCTGAAGACTCACCTTTGGGGCAAGCGCTGCCAGGGGCCGGGTCTGCTGAGGTCTAGAGGCAGGGGGCCACAGAATGGAGACGCCACCTGGCCTGGGGAGACTCTTGCGGCCTGGCACCGGGTTAGCCGGGAGCGCCTTCTGGGGTGGCCGAGGCCTGGAGAAATCCTGGGGAGAAAGCCACAAGCCTCACTCAAAGGCCAGAGGGGCCTGTTCAAAAGAAAATGTTCTCAATATTTTACAGGTCAAAAGCAGATGAGAAAAGGGATATACTATTTAAAAAGAATGGTCCCTCCGGAGCCCGTGCTCCGCAACGGGAGAGGCCACAACAGTGAGAGGCCCGCGTACCGCAAAAAAATAAATAAATAAAAAGAAAATATAAAAAGAATGGTCTCATTGAAAAAGAAATTGTGTGCATACATGTTTACATGCTCAGCAAAAAGCCTTTTTGGAGAGCAAATTAGCAGTATTTATCAAGATTAGAAATGATCGTTCTCTGACCTAATACATAACTTCATTCCCTCTGAGAACTATCTGCACAGGTGCACAAAAATGAAATTGCAAGGATGTTCCTTGCAGCACTGTTTGTGACGGCTAAAAGAAACTATAAGTAACTAAAATTTCCATCAACAAATTACTAAAATTATACAGTGATATATGATGCAGCATTTCAAAAGAATGAAGTAGCTTGATACGTGCTGAGGTGGAGAGATGGTCAAGAGTCATGGCAAGCTGCAGTACAAGCTACACAGGATAGTTTAGAGAAAATAAGTCACCCCACTACCCTCCACCAATGTAAATGCAAAGGTACAGAGGAAAGTCAGGAAGGATGAAGACCAAATTGATAACAGAGGTCAGAGGTTTAGAGTGGGCTGTGCATATGGAGAGGGGTCATCCAAGTGAACATTCAGTTTTCTTAACAAAGCATATATGTGTATTACTTGTGTAAATAAAAATTGTAAAAAGAAGAAATCATATTTTCCATATTGTTTGTCTATGGGTGGCACAATCTTTCCTTTGTGCTCTTACATGACCTTCATGTTTTGCCCCCTCCTCGATAAGGCCTTCCCTGATGACCTTATTTAAAATTATAACACCCCCAAACCAACAGTACACAATCAACGGGATGCAGCAAAAGCCGCCTAAGAGAGAAGTTCATAGCGATACAGGCCTTCCTCAAAAAACAAGAAAAATCTGAAATAAACAACCTAACCTACCACCTAAAAGAATTAGAAAAAGCAGAACAAACAAAACCTAAAGTCAGCAGAAGGAAGATCAGAGAGGAAATAAATAAAATAGAGATTTAAAAAAATAGACAAAAAAATCAATAAAACCAAGAGCTGGTTTTCTGAAAGGATAAATAAAATCGACAAACCTCTGGTCGGGCTCACCAAGAAAAAGGAAGAGGACCCAAATAAAATAAGAAATGAAAGAGGAGAAATAACTACTAACACTGCAGAAATACAAAAAATCAGAAGAGAATACTATGAACCATTACATGCCAACAAATTGGATAACCTAGAAGTTTCTAGAAACACACAGCCCACCGTAACTGAATCAAAAAGAAACAGATAATTGGAACAGAATGATCACTAGAAGTGAAGTGGAATCCGTTAAAAAAAAAAAAAAAAAAACTCCCTGCAAACCAAAGGGAGTGGCTTCCAGGATGGCTTCACTGGGGAATTCTACCAAACATACGAAGAAGAGCTTACACCAATCCTTCTCAAACACTTCCAAAAGACTGAAGTGGAGGGAACACTCCCTAAGTCATGCTATGAGGCCACCATCACCCTGATACTAAAACCAGACAAACTACAGACCAATATCTTTGAGGAATATAGATGCAGAAATCCTCAACAAAATATTAGCAGACTGAATCCAACAATGCATAAAAAAGACCATATACCACGACCAAGTTGGATTCATCCTAGGGTCACAAGAATGGTTCAACATATGCAACTCAATCGATGGGAAACACCACATCAACAAAAGACAAAATTCACATGATCATCTCAACAGATGCAGAAAAAGCATTTGATAAAATTCAACATCAACTCATAATAAAAACTCTCACCAAAGTGGGTATAGATGGAACATATCTCAGCATAATAAAGGATATTTAAGACAAACACACAGCCAACATAATACTCAACAATGAAAAGCTGAAAGCCTTCCTGCTAAAATGTGGAACAAGACAAGGATGCCCATTCTCATCACTTCTATTCAACATAGTATTGGAAGTCCTAGACAAAGCAATCAGACAAGAAAAAGAAATAAAAGGTATCCAAATTGGAAAGGAAGAGGTAAAATTGTCATTATATGCAGATGACATACTATGTATAGAAAACCCTAAAGACTCACACAAAAACTATTACAACTGGGACTTCCCTGGCAGTCCAGTGGTTAAGACTCCGTGCTTCCAATGCAGGGGGTGTGGGTTTGATCCCTGGTCAGGTAACTAAGATCCCACATTCTGTGCAGCACAGCCAAAAAAAAAAAAAAAAAAAACTACTAAAACTGATAAATGAATTCAGCAAGGTAGCAGGATACAAGATTAACATACAGAAATCTGTTGCATTTCTTTACACTAATAATAAAGTTATCAGAAAGAGAAGTAAAAATGCAATCCCTTTTAAAATTGTATCCAAAATAAAAATACTTAGGAATAAATCTGACGAAGGAAGGGAAAGACTGATATGCTGAGAATTATAAAAAAAACATTGGCAAAGGAAACTGAAGATAATTCAAAGAAATGGAAAGATGCTCTTGGATTGGAAGAATTAATATTGTTAAAATGGCCATACTAACCAGAGTAATCTACAGATTTAATGCAATCCCTATCAAATTACCCATGACATTTTTCACAGAACTAGGGCAAATAATCATAAAATGTATATGGAAACACAAAAGACCCAGAGTTGCCAAACGATCCTGAGGAAAAAGAACAAAACTGGAGGCATAACCCTCCCAGACTTCAGACAATACTACAAAGCTACAGTTATCAAACAGTGTGTAATTGGCACAAAAGCAGACATATGGATCAATGGAACAGAATAGACAGCCCAGAAATAAACCCATAAACCTATGGTCAATTAATCTCAACAAAGGAGGCAAAAATATACAATGGAGAAAAGACAGTCTCTTCAGCAAGTGGTGTTGGGAAAGCTGGACGGCCACATGTAAATCAATAGTTAGAACACTCTCTCACACCATACACAAAAATAAACTCGAAATGGCTTAAAGTCTTAAATATAAGACATGACACCATAACACTCCTAAAAGAGAACATAGGCAAAACATTCTTTGACATAAATCGTAGCAATGTTTTCTTAGGTTAGTCTCCTAAGGCAAAAGAAATAAAACTAAAAATAAACAAATGGGGCCTAATCAAACTTACAAGCTTTTGCACAGCAAACGAAACCATAAACAAAACGAAAAGACACCTATGAAATGGGAGAAAATATCTGCAAATCATGTGACTGACAAGGGCTTAATTCCCCAAATATACAAACAAACAGCTCAATATCAAAAAACAAACAACCCAATCAAAAAAACGGGCAGAAGACCTAAATAGACATTTCTGCAAAGAAGACATACAGACAGCCAAAAAGCACATGAAAAGATGCTCAACATCGCTAATTATTAGAGAACCGCAAATCAAAACTACAATGAGGTATCACCTCACACCGGTCAGAATGGCCATCTTCAAAAAGTCTGCAAACAATAAATGCTGGAGAGGGTGTGTAGAAAAGGGAACCCTCCTATACTGTGGGTGAGAGTGTAGATTGGTGCAGCCACTATGGAAAACAGTATGGAGGTTCCTGAAAAAGCTAAAAATAGAGCTACCGTATGATCCAGCAATCCCACTCCTGAGCATATATCCAGAGTTTTATGGTGTCATGTCTTAATTCAAAAAGATACACACACCCCAATGTTCATAGTCGCACTATTTACAAAAGCCAAGACATGGAAGCAACCGAAGTGTCCATCGATGGATGAATGGATAAAGAAAATGTGGTATAGATATACAAGCAAATGTGCCATTTGCAGCAACATGGATGGACCTAGAGATTATCACACTAAGTGAAGTAAGTCAGACAGAGAAAGACAGCTATCACATGATACCACATATATGTGTGGAATCTAAAAAATGATACAAATGAACTTATTTACAGAACAGAAACAGCCTCACAGACTTAGAAAACAAACTTATGGTTACCAAAGGGGAAGAGGCAGGAGGGATAAATTAGGAGCTTGGAATTAATAGATACACACTACTATATATAAAAGAGATAAACAACAAGGACCTACTCTATAGCACAGAGAACTACATTCAGTATCTTGTAATAACCTATAACGGAAAGAATGTGAAAGAGAATATATATATGTATCTGAATCACTTTCCTACACCAGAATCTAACACAACACTGTAAACCAGCTATACTTCAATTTTTAAAAATTGCAACACTCCCCCAGTCAGCATTCCCAGACCCCTTTATCCTTATCTGCTTTTTCTTTTTCGGTATATATCACTTACCCCACTCCACCATACTATACAACTTACTTATTTTTTATTTTCTGCCTCTCCATCCCCCACTATACAAGAAACAGGGGCAGGGGTCCTTTCCTGTTTGATTCAGTGGTACAGCTCAAGCTTTAGAACAGTGCCTACTAAACAGTAAGCACTCAACACGTATTAGCTGAAAACATAATAAAACTCTGCACCTGTCAAAAAAATTTAAATAACTGTATTTATTCTGTGATCCAAAAAAAAGTTTTAAGGGGCAGAGAATGGATCTCATGCCACCACCCACAGATCCCCAAGCTGGTGGGGTGCAAGAGAGAAGCTGATTCCACAGGTGACAGTTCCAGTGCCTACTGTCCTGGATCGCTCCCCTTCCTGAGAAGGTCACTAGCAAGCATAAAAATGGCTCAAAGGCAAGCATGGGGAGAGAGTGGGAGTAAATCAGAGATCTTCTGAAAGCAGCTTCTCAGCCAGCAGGAAAGTGAGAGCAGAAATGAAAAAGAGCAGCAGATTCTCATGACCAAAGCGCCACGTTGTCCAGCGCCATCCCTTCCCGGAAGGACAATGCGATCCCACACGCTTCCAGCCCAGAAAGCTGTCAAATCAGTGGCTGCCGGAGGCCAGGACAGAGACCTTCTGGGGGAAGCAACAGCTGGGGGCAGATGTCAGGATGCCATGGGGAAATGCTGTGCTCCCTTGGCTACTTTCTGTGCCAAACGGACAATTTGTGCGTGTGCAAGAGCACACACAGGGTGGGTGATCTGGGCAGAAGCCTCATCGGCATGGCAACACTGGGCCTCCCAGAGCAGGGCCATGCCACTGGCCACGTCTGCTTTGACCCAGCTCGGCTCTACCAGGGGCCTCACCCAGCACTGTATTCTAGAGGCAGAAACTGTCCTTGAACCGCT